GGAAAGCTCTCGGCAAGCTCTCGAATACAGGAAAGGTTTGCAAGCCTTATTACTCTTTCTCTCTTCATAACTTCAAAGCTATATGAAAGAAGTTCTATTAGTTCTTCTGGCTACACAAATTTCATAAACACCATATTTTCTTATGTTTGTGTCAAGAGAGTCGTTTCCGCACGATATTTCATAAGTCGATTTAAGCGGACGATCCACGTCTTGGGCGAAAGACGAAATGAGTTGAGCCACGCGCACTCAGCAGCTATCTCTCCTAACAACTAGTTAGACAAAACAAAACAGAAAATAGGTATAGATTGTTGCCTTAACTCTCCGTTTCAACTCGGCCGAAAAGAGAAGATGATTTTGAAAGAATAAAGACAACAAGACTGGAACCGAATTGAGCGAACTAATTCATTTTGACACCCCTACTCACAAGTAATTCAACGGTCTCTTAGCCTTTTTTTATTGGCTTCTACGTGTAGTTTTTAGATATATTTACAGAAAAACATATTATCGTCCGCAAAAAAGAGGTAGTCTAACCCTTGGGATGTTGCAGGCTACTCTCACTTTTTACAAGTTACCAATCGGAGTCGAATATTAGCCATTTGGGCGAGCACTTAAATTTGTCATAAACACTTGCCAAACAAAGATTGATTAAAGGGGGAGATAATTTTATATATTTTCTTTTTTGCCCAAGAGGAAATCTTTTTTACAAGCAAAAGCCACACAATTATATTTAAAAAAAACTTTTAAATTTCTTTCGTGAAGGAAAAAGGAAAATAATTGAAAAGATGATGGAAACTCGTCTCAACCTTAATCAAATGACACGTGTTCATAATACAAAAAGTATGTTTTATAACAATAATTAACCACGATCAACGGCTGAGATCCACCGTGGAACAAACACGACTCTCTCCGGCGAAGAAGAAGAACAACTCAACGTCTCCGATCAGATCATATCTTGTTTAGCTTCGCGGCTATAACCAAAGGGTTAGCCTTCGCGATCTCCTCACGACCCGCCGATTTGAAATCGAACGTGCATCCGTGAACCTCCGGGTACCTATGGGTCCCACAGAAAGTCGTCCCGCACCGGCACATGAATCCGGTTAACCCGACCCGTTTCCTACACGCCGTGCACCGATTCGGCCGTTGCGGCGGCTGCTGCTGTTTCTCCTCCGTTGTCGTCGCCGGGATCTGTAATTCCGTTGGTACGATCGTCGTTGACGAGGAGGAGGAGATTGATTCGGTTACCGAAGACGGAGGAGGATGAGATGCGGCGGAGAGAGAGGATTCGACGGTTGATTTCATGGAGGCTTGTTGTTGTTGTTTGAGGCAGAGATCGCCGTAGCAGTTTGAGCAGAGATTCATGGTGGTTGAGCTACCGAAGAAACCGCAGTTGTTAACACAAAGACGGTGACCTTCCGGCGTCTGACATGGATGTTCTTCCGCCA